GTAATTACCGCTGTGGTCTCCACGTTTTGCGTGTTACATTTACCCATCCATATATTCTCCTTTATTACCTCCACTTAAGATCTCCCCTTTATTCTTATACATTCTTCTTGTAAAAATATTTTTTAAACACTATGAGAAAAAGTAATATTTTTTACGAACATGAAATCGATATTGATATGGTCGTATAAGTCTAAGTTTAAATGAAGTCTAAGCGGTATTTTCGCTGTACAGGCATAGCTGGCACCGATTGTGTTAAACGTTTAATCCGTCGATATTAAATTCGTTCCGATTCCTTTTTGCAACTAGCGTGGCTGACGCGGCAGCGCTGGTGTAGCGAAGGGGGCAACCAAGGTGCACTTGTAAGGCAATCTCGGACGGGTTATATAACGACTGGTCACATAAAACTACGTCGAAGCATGGAAACTCCATTACAGAAAAGCTATAGCAGTAAATTTAGCGACCACACCGTTTTCTAGGTGGCCCACGGCGACGTATTCAGCGTGCGCCTCTTTACTGCCCACGTGCACATATCTATTTTCAAAAGTGCAGGTGAGACAACGCCATCTGGGGATTGTTAATTTAACAGGAAGGAAAAGCGTTTTGATTTGTTTTTCCTCGCAATCCTCTATAGAAAAATCCGGTCTGACCCGAATTATATACACACAAAGAAATCTCTGTTGACGTGATTTGGTTAACTAGGGCAGAAATGGTGGAGAGCAAAATGGCAAAACTACCGTCAGACGGCGGGGCTTCATTTACACATGAGATTTTTGCAAAACTCGACCGGGCGTATCTAAGAAATAAATTGCAGCTTCAGTGGGTCATTGTTGTGTATTTGATGACTGCCTTCACGGTATCTACTTTTTCTTTTGTGTTCCATAGCGGTTCATGATTGTACAATTGCCGCAGAAGACGACGAACAGGCAATAACGACATCTAGAGGCGTCTAGCGTGATCTTTCTCTCACAAAAACGAAAAACTAACGAGAAAACATCGTCTTTTAATTAACACTAATTTTTTAACCAAACTTTCCGGAAACAATCGCTTTTACTTTTTTTTTCTTAGTGCGTTGTAAAAATAAATTTCGAGAACTGTGCCGGGAAAATTGTTCACGACGGGTGGCCCTTCAAAGTAGATCGAGCCAGAAATACGGGGACACAAAAGGAGTACAAAGGGACGGCGGGACAGCGCTCTCTCGAATTATGGGAAACTGTTATTATTGTAAATGTCGTAAAAATAGCTTTGCGCGACAAGGTTAAGCTCATAATTAAATTCCCTTCACAGTTTATTTCTTTTATAGAACAATACTGTATATCAAGAATGCAATAATGTTAACATATTATTAAACATATTGTTGGATACATATATTTTTACTATATTATTTTGTGTTTCCATGTAGCTTTTATTCACATTTCGTTTTTATTACATTTTATGAAAATATTCAGAAAAAAAAATGTTTTAATGTTCAATCAATCCCACTCGTCTTGATGTACGTCTATTCTCCATCTTTTAATAGCTTTTAAAAAACTGCAACCTGACGAAAACTTATTTTATATAACATAGTATGACCATTAAAATAAATTCCGGTGGACCGCGATTTTATTCAAAAGTCTAAAAATATATTTTAGTTCTTTCACTTAACATTTAATACTACGTAAATTCTTAATAATGTATTGTTTTTTTATGAATACTCTTTAGAAATTATATAAAGAAATAAAAGGTTTTGTTATAAAAATTAATGTTTTTAACTAAGAATTTCTATTGAATTTAATCCGCTTTAAGTATAATTGAACTAATATATGGAATAATATACAAGGTTTCGTCATAACTTTTTGACTGACTCTGTATTTTTATTGTAATAAATTTTAAAAAACACTTTGTATCTTAACATTTTTCGCTAGCTATCTTACTTTATTAGATAACCGACCGTTTTACAGGCTAAGTTTTTCTCCATGTGTAGTATGGAGATCTCCAAAACTAGCGGAGATAGAGAGACGATTAAATAGGGAAAGAATTGCAGTTTTATGAACTCAATTTGATGAGCTTTTTGTTGTTTGAATGAAATGCATGGCTAACTAATTATCTCGAAAAAAACATTTTTTTTTATATCGTTTGATATCTATTGCTCCAGTATTATTGATTTTAGGAAAATTGGGTTGAAAATGTGAACAATATTTAATAAAACACTTTAACTGACTTTTTTTTTAAGTAATAATTTTTGAGTTATGACACAAATTTGTATTTTTTCTAATGAAAACCAAGTTGGCTAAGAATAACAAAGGTCGTAAGACACAGTAGATGTATTAGAAGTTTTTGCTAATATTGATAGACGTTCTATTAGAAAAGCCACAAATGATGAGCAACTATAATTTTTGAAAAACTCTAATTTGTAGAAACAATCTTTTTGACATTTTAAGGTATTTCCTAAATTCTATGGTAATGCTCAGCTTTTTGCGTTCCTTTTGCTAAAGATTACTTGAAGATACAATAGATATAGTATTAGTGTGGCTATGAGGTATTAGCCAACATAATAATAAAACTATAAAATTAACTTTTGGCAGACTTTTTATTTTGCGTCTGTTATGTTTTGCATCAAAAACAATTGTGTGCAAATATAAAAATAATAACAAATGAAATACAATTTTATGTTTTTAAATGGAGCTGCTGCCACAGCACGCTACATCCACTTCCTCTCCTATAAAGAAAGAACAGAAAGAGGGAAAACATTTAGTCAAAAATTTGAATTAAAATTTAAAATGTACTTTTTTAGTTTTATTAATTATTAAATTGTTGACTTCAGGAGAAACGTTTTCGTTCAGAAAGAAAGCCGGTTTCAGCAAATCGAGGCTTACATTTATTTCTTTACTGTCTTTCAATACAACGAAAAATTTTGAAAATCTCTTCAACACTCTGAAGGGACCTTCGTACCTAGGAGACAACGTAGGTTTAATTCCAGTAATTTTAACAAATACAAAGTTTGACCTGAATAATTCTTTGTGAACAAAAGGTTTTTGGCTGGAATGTATGGTTGACTGAACTGGTTTAATGTCAGCAAAAGATGATTTTAAACGTGATAATAATGGTTCAGTTTCAATTGATGGTTCGGTAGGTAAGAAAAATTCTCCTGGTAATCTGAGTTGCTGACCATAAACCAATTCAGCGGATGAGCAACCTAAATCCTCCTTTAGGGATGACCTGAGACCTAGGAGAATCAAAGGCAAGTCATTGTTCCATCTAGTAGAATTACCTCGAGCAATAATCGCTGATTTCAAAGTACGGTGAAATCGTTCAATCATACCGTTACTTTGTGGGTGATAAGCAGATGTGTGTATTTGATGAGTACCTAAAAATAATTGGAATTTTGAAAATAATAGTGATTCGAATTGTCGTCCTTGATCGTGAGTGATCATGGTAGGAATACCGAAACGGCTGAAGTAATGCCTGAAAAGAGTATCTGCAATAGAGGCTGCAGAGATATCTTTTAGAGGAAAAGCCTCTGGCCACCGTGTGAAACGCTCAATGACTGTGAGCAGATAAGTACATCCAAGAGATGGAACAAGTGGGCCAACCAAATCAATGTGAATGTGTTCAAATCGAACTTTTGGAACTTTCTTAACTTTCTGGCATTGTAAACATGATTTTGTCCAAATACGAATTTGTTTCGACATATGAGGCCAAAAGAATTTTGTTTTTATTAAATGAATGGTTGCTCGAATGCGAGGGTGAGATAAACCATGAAATTTTTGTATAACTATTTCTCTAAATTGCTGCGGAATGTAGATTCGCGGAGATTCCGTTGATATTTCACACCATAATTTGATACCAGGTAGCGTTGTGGGTTGTAGCAATAACTGATAGGGTGTTGTTGTGTGAGTGCGAGAAAATTGTTTATGTTGTAGGTTCGACAATTCGATATCTGTAAGTTGAGCTTTGTAAAGTGTAAGTGTGTCGGGGTACTGAGAATTTAGGGATTCAATATTTGTCCTGGACAAAGCGTCTGCAACAATATTGGAATTTCCCTTAATGTATCTCACATCGGATGTATATTGTGTTATGTAAATTAGGTACCTGGTTTGTCGTGGTGTTTTTTCTGTTGATGAAAATATTGCCGTAGTTATAGGTTTGTGATCGGTGAAAACTGTAAAATTGTTTCCATGTAGGAAATGATTAAAAAATTTTATGGCAGAATATATTGCCAATAGCTCTCAAATGTGGCTATGAGGTATTAGCCAACATAATAATAAAATTATAAAATTAACTTTTGGCAGACTTTTTATTTTGCGTCTGTTATGTTTTGCATCAAAAACAATTGTGTGGCAAATATAAAAATAATAACAAATGAAAAACAATTTTATGTTTTTAAATGGAGCTGCTGCCACAGCACGCTACAATTAGCAAAGAAACTATGATCATGGAATAAGAATTTATGCAGTGCGCCTCTTTGAACAATTCTGAAACTTTTCTGCTTTTTATGCCCTTATTCTAATTTTGCCTGCTTATTTTGTTCTTGGTGCTAGTATGAAACTTTTTGACTTGTTTAGGTCAATTTAGTTTCGGCGTGGTTAGCCTCTTTAAGTTCTAGCAGCTCATTTTTATTTTCATAGAAATATTCGTCAATTCGGGCTCCAGGATACAAGCTTTTGGGGTTGGGAAATTTACAACTGGTTACTATATATAGTCCTTATTATTGGTTAAAAAATAAAGTTGATAATAATGTATATAAAGTGTTAGATTTAATATCGTTTTGGGATATGAATTTAGTAAGTTATATGGTCATTATGACATCGATGTAGGATAGGATGCAGATGATATTCGCCTTATCATCTGATTAACCCTGTGGCAGCGTAGTGCAGAGAGCAGTAACATCCCCTGACAATTAACGACAATTCGCGAAGAAGAAGGCATGCGCCTTCGAAATTGGCGTTGGTGGTGGCCTTTTGGAGAGTCGCGACGCTGCAGCTTCCAGTTGTGTGGACGCGCGCCGGTGGCAAGCAGCAGCCGCACACTCGTTGTTAGAGATTCCGCGCGAAACATCGAAAAAGCAGGCCGTTTATTTGGTTGGAAAGAACATTAAGAAGCACATTACGAGTATAAGAAGGTAAGTTTGGTGGTGGATAGTGGTGAATATTTTTTGTTTTATCTGTTTTTAAATAAACAAGTTTTTGCGAAAGTTTTGAAAAAAGTTTCGAAGACTTTGCGGAGAATCACGCAATGAGTTTTGACCGCTGTCTTTGGTTAATGGCTTTAAAGTACTTTGAGGATGGCGGCGGTTTTTTTGTACTGTCAAAGGGGTGCGTGTGGCGTCGTGTGAAGAAAAGGGGGACGGATTTTCCACCCCAGAGGACGTCCTCGAGTCGAGTGGAATAGTCGTTAGCGCCCTTTATCTCTAGTTCATTAGTGGGCCCCACTCGCTAGAACCAAGCATTGCGTCTTTTGTGATAAAATATTTAAATCCTCAACAATATCCGATTGGCGCGTTGCACCATTTTTACACAATACACCGGCCAACTAAGAAGCAATTAACATGCAGATAATGGTGCGATGCTCCTTCAGATATTGCTAACATATATAACGAGTCCCGTGGGATAAAAAGCACGAAAACCGTTTTCTGCAGCGATATAAGCACTCCAATATATTCACGAGGCAATTAGATAAGAGAGGGGAAAAGAATAACTTTGCCAGCTTTTATTAAGCCCAAAAATAAAAAGGCCGAAAAATAATACCATGGTGTTCGTAATTTTTTTACGCCAATTTTAAATGCATAAAAGATCAACTCTCGCTTTCCACCAAACGCAAATATTGATCGGGGTGATACAAAATATACCACACTATCAAACTTTTAAACATGTATTTATTACTTTTTTTACTAATCGAATCGCTAATGGGTTTTATTACCAGTTTTCAAAACTAATTATAATAAAACTCAATTCTTTATTGCAATAAAGTTTTCCGATTATATTATTATCAATTTAATAATATTATTTTTAAAATAAACAAAAAAATATTTAAGAACCGCTTCCTATGTTTATTTTATTTAATTTGAATTTTTGGATGGGCATTAAAAAAATATGGAGTGTTTAGTTTTAATTTGTATTAAATTTTGTGATGTAATTATTACCTAAAAAAAATAAATTTAATCCAAAAAACTTTAGAAAAGTTGGCGAATAATAATTTCGTTGTTGTTGCGCTGTTTTGTAGTCTTGAAAAACAAGTTCTTCTGTCTGGCTGGAGAAATTAATTTGTACCAACATTAACCGCATCACTTCGAGGTATTTATCATTCATTTGGTTAGTTTATCTTGCATTTGTTTTTGCTGGGTTAAAAAAACTGCTACCGAAACAAATTCTGCCGTTGGGATGAAAATAAATTGGACGTTGCCGGTTAGAAAGTGCGGGGCAAAAAATACGACACATTCTCGTTAAAAGGATAATACGTTAATGTTAATTAGGTAATTTTTTCTTGTTGCGACTGCTCCGGATTAGTCCGGATGTGGAAGGGCAGGACCCAAATTTTATTATCGCATGAATGGGGAGTTATTTGTTTTTCATCTTATTCAATTAAAGTGTGTGGGTGGAAGGCATTGTCTTGGTTCTTGAATGTAATTTTTGCGAGGACAGGGTAAATATTGTTTAATTCCGGGAACGCTCAGATCCCCGCAGTTAGTAAATGTCAAAACCACCGCAAAATCATTTAATAACCCCTTTTGTTTCTCGTTCTTCGCCGGGAGAACGTCATAAAAAACCTTATAAGATCTCCACCCTTTTCTCAAACTACTGGGGAGGACACTCTTTTGCTTCGCCCAACGTAATTTTCGTCAAGGTTCGCTCGACGTCTAATCCAATGCACTTTAAATCATCTTCGTTCATCACGTTCGACTCAATTATTCAACAGGGAGTTCCGGTCTAATTTTTACTCCACAAGAACCCCAAAAAGTTGGTCTGATGTCAGCTGTACCCTAAACACTGTTGTAGTACCGGAGATCGCGGTCAACCAACGCCGTCACATGTGACGCGTCGCCTCTCCATCGCGACGTCACACACCATCGCACCTATTTTGTTGGAAACGTATTTATCAGACTTACGCTTGATTTACTATCAACTCGGGGTTCCGGCGTAAAATTGATTTAATTTTGAAACAATACGATTACATATCGCTCATATTGTACATATTTTGTTCACTATCTAAATGGACATTCTTTTTTAATATACAGTTTAACCCAAATAAAATGTACAAGATTGTACCAATATAACAATAAGGCACTATCACTAGAACTAACACAAGACCTAGAACTAGAATCATTCGGGTTTAGCCGTCTTGAGAGACGTGCGGCTAAATCCGAATATTTCTAGTTCTCGGTCTAGTGTTAGTTCTAGTTTTACACTAGCACTATCACTAGAACTAACACAAGACCTAGAACTAGAATCATTCGGGTTTAGCCGTCTTGAGAGACGTGCGGCTAAATCCGAATATTTCTAGTTCTCGGTCTAGTGTTAGTTCTAGTGACAGTAGTAGGTAGCACTAGTTAGCATAAGATATTACTATATTGTATATTTTTATTGAACTAACACTAGACCTACAATTACAAAATATGGAGTGATTAAATAACATTGTATATATTTTTTATGTTGAGAAAGAGAAAAAACCTTGGAAGAATTGAAAACGAAAAGTGAAATACACCGCAAACAAGAACAAGAAGCTATAGGCGTAAGTTCGTCACCTTAATTCCACGTGTCATTGGCTTGGGGATTTGCGCGTTGACAAGTTTTATCTCTTCGATGGGTCTGTTTTGTTATATGCAATATCGGGTAGAAATCGACGTATCCATTACTCAGTAGCGTAGGTCACGAGAGACTTCTCAGCCCATTTCAAATCCCGATATATACCCTGATTTACGTCCTACTCCAACCATCACGCCGTATACCAACCTCCGTCCCGGTATACTCGCAGCTCTCATGAATCCATTTTACACATTTTCATCCTGCTGGAACCCGAAACACCATCTCCATTCGCAAAATTATCGGCGCAGTATGCAAAGTTCAAGACGCCAGAAGTTTCTTTGATGGTTTTTCGGTTTTTGGTGTTGCAGTTTGCGAACTGTAAATTCGTAACGCTCGACGCCTTTTCGAACAGACCCACAGCTGATTGCGACAACGTTTCCAGTTTTTATCGAATTCATCGAATATCCTAATCCTCGTAAATAATTTTAGTGGAATAAAAATGGCGTTGTAACTTGAAATATATTAAAGAAACCGTAGAAGACAACTCGGTGGTGATTGATGCGTGCCAAAAGCGGGTAATTTTGTGCAGGGAAGACCCCAGGCGGTTATAAAAATAAGAAGGACGAGCAGTCTGTTGCCTCGCAAGGCGAGTAGGGTTGGTCCATTCCTCCTCCGCTATAAATTATCCATGCATCTCGGCTAATAGCAAACTAGCGCATCGCAGGATTGTCGTTACCGACCACCCGCGCCACTAATGAGATATCCTATGCCACGGGCAGAGATCATCAGCGAAGCCGCGGACGCTGCGCGGCAAAAATTTGCCCATTCTTAATGACCAATGAATTAAGGAAGTATTCGGGCTTAGGGTTAGGATAATGGTGCCGTAATGGCCGGGGAATAATTTATCACTGTCTCTAATTTGGACGGCTCCCCCTTCATCTGCTGACGTCCCACTTAGCGCGAAAGTACCAATAATTTTCTTTAACTGTATCAAAATATAACTGCGCCGATATTTTCGCCACCAACGAAGCGGTTCAATTCGAGTCCTCCTTTCTCCCCTAGATCTGGCGAATCGTCGTCTCAGGCACGTCGCTGCTCCAAATGGAATTATTTAGAATTAATTTAACGTTATTAGCGCAGATTCCAAAGACGAACTTCCACGTACGCCTACTGACCGAGATTTCCGAACAGATGGAATATCCGTCTCCATAATATCAAAACGCGTTATCATCAAAAATTTTTACGACGCCTCCGATTTTACCTTTTTTTTTAAAAGAACCCTCTCGAATTCACGTCCGTTGAGATTTACAGATTATAATTCTTCTAAAATGATTCTTAAAAACACCAGTAATAAAAATTTACATTTAATAAAAAATTTTTATTCTTTACAGATTTCAAAATGTTCCTTGGATTCCCATTAAAAGTGCTTGTATTGGTTACAGTGGTGATACGAATAGGAATGGGTAAGTAATACAAATTGCATATCTTAAATGAGGCGTGTAGTAGCAAAACTCGCCTTATCCATTTTTTACAAAATTTTGGTTAGATATTGGAATACATTATTTTTATAAATTTCAACACATTCAATCATAATTTTTTTAAAAAACATGCTATATACCCTTTTAAAATCATTTTGAAATTTTCTTGTCATAGCAAAACTCGCTATATTTATAGCGAGTATCGCGGCAAAAGTTGCCTTATCCAAGCGTCCAATAGCAATAACGATTCACGATCACGTGAGCTAGGGTTCTGATACGCGGCCATTTTAAATTTAAATTTTTTAATAGTTTGTTTTATTAATAAGTTATTAAGCGTGTTTTTGGTGTTGTGTACATACAAATTATGTCTAATATGAGTCAAGATGTTATTTTACCCTCAAAAAAAGGGAAAGGAAGAAAAAAAATAGCCGATAAATCAAAATGGAAAAGAGAAATCAGTAAGCGTGAAAGGTAAGCTCTTTTTTCTTAAGAATTTACTAAGCTTGTACAAAAAGTACTCGATCTGTCCGTTTCATAATTTTTCGGCGACATGTTAACAAGGGAAGTTAATTTTTTCGAATAGTAAATTAAATTCTATGATACACAGCAGAATAATTTAACTTTATTTCCTTCAGATATTCCTCTCCTAATCTGCCATGTTTCCCAATATGCAAGCACAATGGCAAAACCTTCCACTGCAAAAAATTAACAGGATTGGATATTTACAATTTTCATCGGAATTTTTATTTGCATAAAAATAAAGTTGAGCAGGATGCATTTATTTTAAAATACTGTAGCCACGACAAACCAAAAAGACAAAACCGAAATTTAAAAGAAGGAAGCAGTCGAAAAAGTGTGGCAATAAAATACTTTGTGAAAAAATGTCGCTATGAAAAATATAAAATTCAAGTGTGCCAACAAACGTTTCTTCAGATTCTTCACGTTTCCAAAGATCGTGTACAAAGAATTTGCAGAAACCATTTAAACACAGGACTAATGCCAAAAGAAAACCGAGGGGGCGACCGGATTAGTACAAAATTTGTTGAGAAACGAATTGCGGTAAAAAGATTTATTGAAAATTTAAAATGTGTAGAAAGCCACTATTGTAGATCAAAAACAGATAGTAGACAATATTTGCCTAGCGGATTAAGCATCTCAAAACTTTGGCGCACTTATAACAGCAATGTTAATTCTGAACATCATGTAAAAAGAACATTTTTTCAAAAAATTTTTACTAATGATTACAATATTGGCTTTGGAACTCCGGTAACTGATGCATGTTCCAAATGCATCGAACTGTCGGAGAGAATAAAACAGGAAATGCGTCCTAATGAAAAAAACAAATTAATTATAGAAAAAAGAGTTCATAAATTAAAAGCAACGGCGTTTTTCAAAAAACTACAAGAAAAGAAAAATGAATTAATTACATTTTCATTTGATTGCCAAAAAAATTTGGTTATACCAAAAATACCAGATCAAATTGCCTACTTCAGCCGGCAGCTATACATCTATAATTTTACCATTGTAAGAGGTTCTTCAAAAAGTCACATGAACCCAGAAAACGTATTTATTTATACGTGGATGGAGCATGAATATAAAAAAAGTTCCAATGAGATATCATCAGCTGTGTTTCATTGCCTATCACAAGTCGATCTTTCACCATATTCAAATATACGTCTATGCGCTGATAGTTGTGGAGGACAAAATGGGAATTCTACAATGATAGGAATGTGTTCTTATTTTTTGGCAAATGTGGCACCTCCAAATGTTAAAACAATAGAATTGATTTTTCCAGTGCCTGGACATTTATATCTCCCATCTGATAGGATATTCGGTCGCATTGAAAAAATTTTAAAGAAAGAATCAACTATTATAGATCCTAAAATTTATAGAAATATTTTTGAGGAGCATGGAACTGTTGTGCAGCTGGGCAAGGATTGTGAAGTAAAAGATTGGAAGTTGAGCGTTAAAGAATTTTTGAAACCTGTTCAAGCGTGGCACTTTAAGTTTTCGCAAGCAAAAAGATTTATTTTATCGAGAAGTCAAAGAAATTTTAATTCTTGTTAGTGGAGAGGTTTATTACAATTCTGACACTGGGACTGCAAAGTCATTATTAAAAAGAGGGAAAACATTCAGTTATTTCTCACCAAATCAAAAAAGGTCGGTAACGTCAGGGAGCTTTTAAGAAAACATTTTGGTGATAGGTGGATGGAAAGACAAGACTTGAGTTTTTTTATACCTTTAGTAGTTGATTTAGATAGACCATCTTTAAAAGAACAAGAAGAAGAAGACAGCATGTTTTTGTGAACGGAGACCACAAGAGGTTGATAACCTGTTAAGAATTTAAAATATTTGATTATTATTATTTTCAATTTAGTGTTCATTATTCAAAATTGTTCAAAAAAATAAATAATAAATAAATTTTTTTAAGAAAACCGTCTGTTGATTGAATATTGTGGTATAACAAAACTTGCTATTCATTCATAACACAGCAAAACTTGCCTTATTCAAATAAAATTACTGTTTCTTTTTCAAACTGGATAAAAACCAATTATAGAGAACCTATTGTTGATAACATTTCATAACGTAATAGCTATATTTATTTGGGTTTTATATTTGCTTTCCTAAAATTTATTGCTCAAAACTTAAAATTTTGATTTTCTCAAATTTACTTCAACTGGATAAAGCGAATTTTGCTACTACACGCCTCAAATAAAAAATTAAAATAAAATATAGCGTTATACATAATCTTAAATAGGATACTAAATTTTTATATATCACTTTAAGGGGGATACTTTTAGCTTTAATATGATATAAAAATCATCTTTTTACCTTAAAAATAATATTTTTTTATTTAATTTAAGTTATAGTAAAAATTTAGACATTTTCAAAAAAATATTTATAAATTGAACTAAAATAGTATGATAATGTGATATATACCAGCTTATAATATATGCCATATTTTAGCTTAGGGAAAAGCTAAAAGTAGTCTAGCTTTCGAAAGTTAAAATTTAAAGATAAAAAAGTAATGTTTAATAAAAATAATAATAATACTATTTTAAAAAATCTTAAAATCATTACAAACATAATCTTCCTTCAGAAAATTAATGTTTTTTAATTGGATTGGATATTTTGCAACAGTTTCTGACATTTGTCGCTGATGATGGGATTGGGACTGTAAATTTTTAAATAAAGCAAGTTACAAGTTACTTTGATATTTAATTCATTGATTTTAATATAAAATTTTTTGAGGTTGTAAAAGAATGTTTGGGGTTATATTATATCAAATTTTAAGTTTCCTGAAGGAAGTTTTTTTATAAAAATTTTTAATTAATAAAAAAATAAAAATCGCATTATCTATGGTATTAATTTTCGACAAACAAAACGCGTTATGATGAGCGTTATCGTTAATATCATCAAAATCGTCTAATCGTCCAAAATTGGCATGATTGGGGAATATACAAATACGATGTCAATATTGACAACCGTAATACTAACTCCACATACAATAATATTATCACGTTTGGGATTAAAATGAAATCGTTTTAGTAAATAATAAGGTAATATCTTACGTGTTTCGATTAATTTGCCATGATCTAATAAAAAATGTATATAGTGCTCCTTTAATAGTATGAAGTAATAAAGGAGTTAGAAAGCTAATTTTCTCGAACGCAAAATTTTTATAAAGGATAATACATCAAGGATAAGTGAATGCCGGGCGAGTGGCAATAATGGCGAGCTGTTCCATCAAAACGTTGTGCACGATGCATTATTAATATTCGAGCGTCAGACTAATTGTGCGCGAGGCACTAGGAAATTCGGCTGTTTATCGAATATTTGAAATGCAAAATAACAACAGCCTTATTTACTTAGTGATGGCAGTATTTCTCAGTGGGAAAACAAACATGTTTAGTTTATGGATTTGTCGGTCATTAGAATATCGAGCATCGTGGTTGGATTAATTTGACACGCGGAGTCCTTTTCGCGGCGGCTTTCGTCGTATTAAGCAATAACGGTCGGAAGGAAGGAAGATCGGTTTGATGTCGTTCGCGAGAAATACAACGGTATTGCGTAATTAGTCAAACAACGTTCGAGACGTGCCCGGCAGTACATTCGTCTCAGTAAACGCCCCGTTTTGCTGGAGAATCTCTCCAAATGGATAATCAGTTGTCTTAATCAATGGAAATTCAATCAGGTCTGAAATACAATGGTGTCGACTTGACTCAGCACTCGTTAGGGACAGGTTGATTGCCGTTAAAGCTCGATTCGAAAACGTCCGAATCCCGCCCGAGAAACCTTTGCACCCCGGTCTGTGGTCCCCCGGAGGAGCGAAACATCTCTTTCGCCTTTCGAAGAAGATAAAAGCGCGCCCGACACAGCCGCGGGCCGCCTGAAAGTATATTGCGGCCGCCCCCTTCGAAAACATTTTTCCCCTAGAAACTTAGAGTTCCCGACAATATCCTAGAGTGAACGGAACCAGTCCTCGGCGCCTCGGGCAGGATCAAACTTGGCATGCAAACATCAAGGTGCTTCGCCTCGGCCTCCTATTGAAATATGGCTCTGTTAAAATCATTCGAAAAAAAAATTTAAAATAAGCTTAAACAATCTTTGTCTCGTACATAAAATATTCACATTCATTTTTACTTTGTTTCAGCTAACGACCCTTTCAAGAACCATCACGGTCCCGTTGGTGGTAAGTATCTTAATAAACGAATTTTTAATTAACTTGACATAATCGCAACAGGTTATGTATTAATTAAGGATTGTATTAGACAACATAATGAATTAGAACTAAAAGTTGTAACTTGGGGGGCGAAAAAACTTTGTTCGCTCGTTAAATAGCCATTAATAAATAACCGCGTCTAGCGTTTTCGTTTCAAAAAAAAAATAATAGAAGGATCGTGGCTGATGGAAACAATTAATCATATTTAAAGTCGTCTCGATAGTTTTCCAAAATTTAGTTATCGGCTATTTAGCTATTTCGGTACAACACTTAAGATAACATGTCGTTTAGGTAAAAAGATACACATTAATGGTAAGCTCGCTTTAAAGTTTGGCCGTATTATTCTGGAAAGTTAAACGAGCGGTATCGCGCGATAATTCATTTCCACCAGAAATTGCATATCCCAGTCGAAAGACGCTGGGCCGTAACGTATGGCGCCGTTTTGTACACGTAAGACCTTCAATTCCTTCTTCTTGGATAACGAACGGCGCGCTGAGACGTTCTCGCGTGTTCTGATAATTAAATCTCATCCCAATTTAATATAATATATTCCATTAAGAGCGGCATCTCACCCTTATTTCCATAGAACTGTATTTATTAACCCTCGACGAGTGAGGCCGACGAAAACTTCTCCGAATTGATAATAATTCACTTCCAAAAATCCGTGTAACTTAAAAAAATAATAAAATGTTCTGTTTTAATTTTTAGCCGTCGAGGCGCTGAAGAATTCACAAATACCCATCGATGGTAAGTAATTTTAGTTTAATCTTACCTTATTTCCTCACTCTACATCCGCGAACTACCGGGGAGGGAGAAAAACGTGTCCCTATGCAATCAAATCTAATGAACATGACTTGCCCTTCACGAACATTACCCGATAAGCTTAACTTCCGCGAAGTTTCGCTGCGCCTTATCTTTAAAATAACCGCGAGAGTGTGCCCCGTACTTATTCGACTGTCACAGGCTTTCTATGCAAAAGAAACTCCCTCAGGATGGAACGAATTTGAATAAATGATTATGTATGTTGTAAACTTATTAAAACATAATCTTGTTAGTATCTGGCGTCACGTCTTGTCTATATGTAAATCAACAATTATAACCGAAATTAAACCCGATTTGTTTATCAATCGCCCGTTAATTGAATAGTTCCTACCAGACGATTTTTGAAAGGAACCGCAGCCCAGATGTAAATTAGAAACACATGCACACCACCTGGATTCAACCGTACGTAACACTCCATCCCAGCGTAAGTTTTAATGAAGACAGTTTAAATAATGTAGAAGGGCGCGGAACCAGTTCCCAAGATGAGTACGCATGCAAATAAGATGGTACCGATGGTGCACCACCTCGGTGATAAACCACAACAAGAAGATCAATGCCTAGTAGAAAGGTGGAAGGTTGAAGGTAGAGCGTAGAAGGTGCCGTCACCGCACACCACCTCCCAAATTTAATTAATTCCACCTTCTATCCAAAACTCCCTTCATTCAAAACGCATTGCACCCAGGACGAATCGAACACCATCCATCTCTTGACCCAAACTTGTCGCCTCTATAACAACTTTACTTTGATATTTATGCTTCGGGTCATCGTACCTCATTTATCTTTAATCCGTTTTCCATAAACCCTCACAGGTTCACCTATCAAACTTTCTATTCATATCGATCTCTTTGATAAATTTATTTCAACATCAACTTTCATTTTAATTTAATTAATGATTTTATATATACAGGGTGTCCTACGTAAATTGTTATTTATTATTACAAAGGCAAGAAATTCGAAAATTTTATTAGCCTACCAGAAGGAGCATTTAATTCTTTACAAATCGAAAATATTTGATAATATTTATTTATTGTAGTTTTCCTCATATTGGGAAATTTGTCAAACTATACACGGATTGCAGGAGGCTTTTATTAAAAGGTAATGGAATTTTGACAATTTTCTGTTTATGTTTATGCAACCCAATACGTAAATCGCGTATTGCAATACCAATAATAATAATAATAATAATTCACTTTATTGCCCAACAAAGATCAATTACAGGACAATATTACAAGAAAAAGAAAATAAGAAATAACACATGCCATAAAACAAATATAATTCACATAAACACTCCTACACTATTATTGATTGTTAGTTAGTTTACACATCCTCTGCACCGGGGAGTTGGCTAAAACATTGGATCTGCAATTCCTCAAATAAAACTGATTTGTACTACGTGTTATTGTTAACCACAATCCAATTCACCTTGCACTAACTTCTGCAAAAACTTGATGCACTGGTCATCTCTTCTTACGTCTAGTGCAGAAAAATTGTGACGCCGCATAATCCATTCCACGATCCGGGTATGATCCGTCCAGGCGTAGAGACAAATATTTGAGAAATCTCCTCTGAATTCTCTCCAATATAAGTCTATGACACACATAATGTGGCGACCAAATTACAGAGCCATATTCCAATTTGGACAATACAAAGGTCGAAAATAGGGTCTTGTACACACCGATATCAGAAAAAGTACGCGAGGTGCGCAAAACGAAACCAAGCATCCTCGCTGCAGTAGATGCAATATTTTCGATGTGAGGTACAAAAGACAATTTGCGGTCAAAAGTTACTCCCAGATCCTTGATTGTAGATAATTTCTCAAGAAGAACACCTTCTATATAATAAGAAGATGGAAGAGGAGACAGCTTGCGTGTAAAACTAACTGCACCGCACTTATTGGCATTAATCTTTAGCTGATAACGGTTACACCATTCCACCAAGACGTCCAAATCCGACTGAAGACTGACAACATCACAGTCCGCAAAAATAGGTCGGAATAGTTTCAGATCATCCGCATAAGCTAGTACGCTTGATGAAAATTTGTCTAGAAGGTCATTCAAGAAGATAACAAATAGTAGGGGGCCTAGATTTGAGCCCGGAGGAACACCAGACCTAGCCGTAAACTCCATAGACGCATAACCGTTGTAGTACACATAATTTATACGACCCGATAGGTAAGAGGCAAATAGTTTCATAAACTTAGGAGATAAGCCAAAAGCACTAAGTTTATACAAGAGGACGTCATGATGAATCATGTCGAATGCTTTAGAAAAATCTACCTGACCGCCCCTATCCAAAGATTCACAAATTACCTCAGTAACCACCGCGAGGTTGGTAATGGTCGAACGACGCTTGATAAACCCATGTTGATATGGTGACACAAATGACTGAACCTGTGGATAAATCATCCTGTAAATAATCTGTTCAAATACCTTAGCGAAATTGGACAATAACGATATTGGTCGATAATCAGTAATGTTGATACGTTCGCCATGCTTGAATACAGGAACAATGCGTGAGCGCTTCCAAAGTTTAGGAAACGAGCAAGTGCTTAAGGATAGGTTAATTATTAAATGAAGCGGAACTGCAAAAACTGCACAGCAATCACGAATGAAAAATGCAGGAAGATCATCATCACCAGCAGTAAATTTATTAGGTAACCTTTTTAGGAAATGAAGAACCTCTTCTTCGGTGACATCGGCAACAAATACTGGAGGATACGTAGAGTGAGGATACCAATAGTGTGATATTGGTTGCATACTTGCAATGATGACGTCGGGTACGATAATTAATTAACACAGTGTATATATAATTATTTTAATAGTTGTGTATTTGACGGCTATATTTATATTTTTTAAAACGAGTTTATTTAATCGATTTAACCAAAAAAGTAAGAATATATTATGGCGTTCGGTTGTGAAAATGTTCAGAGTGTTGGACGTTTAGTAATCTTTTGAAAAATAAACCGTTGTTTATTTGGTTGGAAGCGGAAATGATGGGTAATCAGTGAAAATTAGCAGTCCGGTGTTACACAAAATGCACAAACACGTCGTCATTTTTAATTTCGACCCGTACGACTGCAAAGTATTTATGTGACAGATGTGGGAAGCTTTCGATTGATGTTTTGCGTACAGTTCATTTAGCGCAAGTCAACAAAACCAACTTGCTCTCTTCAACATTAAAACGGGTTGAAATCAAAGTGAATTCTCATTTATTAGGCCGCTTTTATTCGCACCAGTTTAATCCTTCTTATTTGTATTTTACCTGGGGTTACAAGTTTGTTTTCCTTCAAACCGGATCATATTACGCTCTTAACAGTATTAATTCTGTTGTACGCACCATGAAACCCACCCGCCAGTTCTCGACGTGTATTTCTAAAGAACCAAGAACGAGCGACATCAAAAGAGAGTCTGCTGTTAATTTATCGTAGCCGCCCCCGTAAATATATTCACAACATAGAAAAATACAAATAGCTCGCTAGCCCCCACTGGGGGGAGTGACTTTTGAACCGCAATGCTGCAAAAACTCTCACCCAACAGCCCGTTGTAATGAAGACTAATGACGTCTAAATCTTTCTTGAGGTCCATTTCAAAGCCCACCCTCGTTCTCACTTAACCTTCCTTCAACCCTAACATTAAAATAATAAAAGAATCTATAGAGTTCTTCACCATCAAACTGTAAACACTTCCATCATATTTCAAAATTAGTTCGTCTTAATGATTCATTTAATTCATTTATCATTTTCAAGCGATTGAGGATACTTATAAAAGCTAGATAGCAAAATTTTACGCGATTCAATTTGTTATTTTAAATAAAAGGAGAACACAATAATTATGTCAAAACGTTTACTATACCCGCTTTGTTCAACAAACGACGAGTTCGTGTAGGTCCTGGTTCCGAGCGGTAGACTACGATCCTGCAATCCAGCGATCCTGCGGGACCTCCCTAATGTCAACGGTCGACCTAACAGAATTATCTTGCGGGCGGTACAGAGTGTACTTTGGATGATCTCTTTTCTATTGCGATATTCCATTAAACGAAGCGTTGATGCAATTATTAAAATCTGAAATTAAGCTCAATATTGTTTTGAGATTACCACATAAGTCTGTAAAATAAAAATGAAACCAAACGAAACGGAATTGTGCGTGACAGCTAAGATACATGGAATAATGAAATCTACTTGGGCCGGCCCTGCACTTTTTGCAGGGGAGGACACACGGGTGAACTTCTTACGACTCGACAATTTATCTTTCTATTCAGGTTTAATTTGTGTCGACGTTCTTACGGCGACGACACTGACGTAATGAAATAAAAAAAAACATCCAATCTTTCTTTCTTTAAAAAATAAAAAATATACTCCAATTAAAGACATAAAAGTATCATTATTATGAAAATGTACAACGAGGGATGATTAACTCTCAATTTGAAATTTGAATTCGAAATCCCAAAGGATTTATCCTCAACTACGCCAGGCGAACGGCGCCGGGATAATCAGTGAACTTTCCCGTCACTGCACCGATATTGAGTTTGTTTATTAATTTCGTCGAAAAATATACTTTACTAACCCGAACAAAGTCTTGAAACGGACGTATGCAAGAAACGCGACAGCCTGCAAGGCCGTAACAGCGCGAAGTGCTCTTCGTCGACCATAAAATAGGAAGACAGCTGGTCCAGCTTAACTTATTCCAATGTTTGGGCACCTGCATCGAGCATCGAATCTGCTTAGGATTCACAATTCGTATCGCCTTTACTATAATCGTTTAGTTATCCATATGCCATATTTGATTCGCTAAATTATCGCTCTGTTACGTGACTTTTCAACTCTTGTATTTACATACTCTGTTAAATTGGATACATATTTTTTACTTTTTAATCATTGATTCTAACAATATTTATTGAACTAGTTTTGGCATACGTATTTCACTAAA